CAAGTCAGGAAAACAGCTGATTCGGATGACTCGGCCCCAATGGAAGTGACACAGTGGAGAAAATTTATAGGATCGAGAAAAATTATAGAACACTGACTTTGACACTGTCCGGCCCCTCCCACTAACCTCCCACAGCTCACAGCCCAGAAGCATGGGCAGCCAGTTCCCCGGCAATTCATCTTAGTGAATTGGCCCACTATTTGAAAAATAATGTGGAGAAAAAATTTCTGTGACACAAGAATGTCTATGCAGGTGGGGCGTGTGGGAGGGACTTGTATATGGGCGGAGCACAAGGGGGCCCCATAATCTTTTATTGCCCGGAGGCCCCATGTGTTGTCAGTCCGCCCCTGCTCACATGTCCTGTGGATGTGCCTGGACTGGTCACATTCTGGCTCCCAGCAACTCTACAAGGCGCGCAAGGGGGCTGTACCAGCAAAGCACATATTGATGGAGCTTCAGCACAGCGCAGCAGCCCACACTGGACCTCAGGCTGAGGATCCACTCCAGTTTTCATAAGATAGGGAGACTGGTTAGATCTTAAAAAAGAACAAATATTTTTTTTTGGGGAGTGTGTATGTGAGAATGTCTGTGAGTGTGCGAAATTGTGTCTGTGGTTGAGTGTATCTGTCAGTGTTTTTGACGGTCACACTAGTACAGTGCAGTCATTGCACAGTCACGTGAGATTAATTAACCTTACTATGCAATCACACCTAACGTGAATTCTGGTGTGGGAGGTGTGTTGCATTGCCATTCATTTGAATGGCACCCCAAACGCACCTCCCACCCACAGTTAAATCGCACGCACTTGAACGCGCGATACGGCATTGCCATATGTTCCAGTGCGGTGTGACTTGGGTCACTACTTAATGATTCTTTTTCTGCAGCCCCAGCACACAATGAATGGGAAGCCTCAGTACAGAGGCTTCTCATTCATTCACAAACTAATGATAGTAACAAAAATCTTAATATCATTAGTTTCTGAATGGGGAGGAGCCTCTACTGTATAGTGAGTCCTAGTCCCCATTCATAAATTCTTGAATGAACAGGCTGTGATGTGTATCACAGCTTGTTCATTCATAACTGGGGACACAAAGTACTATGTGTCCCCAGTTATTTACCAGTTATTTTCGTCTGATCACTCCGGTGTTTGCTGTAAACAGAGGGATCATTAAATATCAATGATATTTAATGATCCCCCGCTCGGCCACGCTGAAGAGCCAAAAACTGACAGGATGACAGCGGCTCGGAACGGAACACCGCTCGGCCATCCTGAATTGCGGCCAGCCGCCGTTTGGTCCCCCGACCCCCCTGCGGGTGATTTTTTAACGGATCCCCGCTGCTAGCAGCGGGGTGAACAGTTATACTATAAGCTCATGGTCGCTAAAGCGACCATGAGCTTATAGTAGAACTGTAAATGCCAGGTCCGTACGGCATACTGAGCTGGCCAGCCAGAAGCACTTTTGTAGCTCCGTATGCCTTACGTCCTTGGCAGCGAAAGGGTTAAAATCCTGCATTCAACATTGTTTGCAGAACTGTTAATCACTAAGGGGTCTATTCGCTAAGCTGCCATAGGCAGCCGAGTGAACGACCGACCTGAAGTGGGCCATGTGAGTAAATAGCCAAATGCCGCTCAGCGGCATTCGGCTCGGATGTTCTGCTCGGTCCCTATGTGGGACTGAGCAGAACAGACAGATAGTTAGAAAAAGAGAAAAAAATGGAAAACGATTGTGCGGAGCTAGCAATGACAGCTAGCTCCACCCAACTGTTTTCTATAGGCCGGCGGTTCTGCTGCCGTCAAAAAAAAGAAAGAAAAAAAAACGTCCGCCATAGTAATGCATTGCTAGATTCCTATTGGCTATTTCAATTTGCAATAGCAAACTAGCTATTGCACCCTTTGCTGCTGTCAATCACTAGTGGGGACCTGATGGAGAACTGCAGCAGTGGGCGGGTGCAATAGCTAGTTTGCTATTGGCTATTGCAAATTGAAATAGCCAATAGGAATCTAGCAATGCATTGCTATGGTGAAATTTATTTTTTTGTTTTTATTCTGACGCAGTGTTTCTCTCCTGGGCGGCCGGGAGCGGGAGACTCCCGGAGCGCCCGGGAGAGTTAGGCTGCAGTTAGACCCTGTGAAAACATCAGCTCTGACAGGTAGACCGTGAACCATTATGACTGTTACTATGTTGACTATGTTCAATTCATACTGATTTTTAAAGGTCTACAATATTTTGATGTTTTTATGCATGCCTAATATTGTTAGTACGTATGCACCAATACCGGGAGCCCAAGTGAGACCTCAGAGCCCGCCACTAACCCTGCCCTACATAGAGCTCGCACAACTACCTAAGAGCCACACAGCCCACCATTTACTGTGCACAGCCCAGCAGAGCCTGAATAGACACCCGAGAGTCCACACAGCTCACCACAGAACCTGCAAAGCCCACCTGTGAGTCTACACAGCCCACCATACAACCTGCACAGCCACCTAAGAGCCCATACAGTCCACCATAGACCCTGAACAGCCCACCTGAGAGCCTGCACAGCCCACCAAAGAACCTGCACAGTCCAAGGATAAAAGCGGGGGCCCAAACTACTTGTCCTTATATATAAAAAAATAATTTTAAGTAAAACCCTATTGGGACGCGTCAAAAAGCACTTCTCATTGGTCAGCATGTCCAGTGCTGACAAATTAGTGCTTGCAATTTACAAGCAAAAGTCAAAATCAGGGCTGCGCTGTATGTGGTACAGATAGTAGATCCATAGCAGTAGAGAGGACAGTTCACCGAAAGGTATTAGTACTGGGGAAGGGGGGATGGGGAGAAGGGCCAGATTTGAACCGTTTTTTTAATTTTCACAAATGCCTTAAGAAAAGTGAAGTTACCCTTAAATGCGCATTATGCGTGTTAGAGAACACTGCCTAATCAAATCAAGATGGCGGGGATGGCGAGGTTGGTTTAATTTTTTCTTATTTTTAAATATTTTTTTTACTTTAACACTTTTTTAAATTTGATTATTTTTTACCTTTTCTTTTAATTTGATTATTGTTTAGTTTTAGTTTATTTTTATTCACTTAACTTTATTGCTATCATACAGAGGCTAACAAGCCCTATATGATAGTGTTTGGAGTTGACAGGTTCTTTTTATAGAACCTGCCCTCTAACACAGAACATCGAGGTCATTACTGAGCTCAATCTTCTGTACAGTTGGCGACAGCTGAGTAGGTGGCGCTGTGAGCACAGCACTCCCTTCTTGATGATCACAGAGAGCAGAAAGGAGAACAGACATTCTCCGCTCTGCCCGCTGCTCTCCATCCTGAAATGTTTGCTGTGCTCCTGGGTCCCCCAGACGAGCGTGGACCTCGAAAACCGCGGTTCGGGGGGGGGATAGTGTTGGCTGCTGCTTGCTAAACATTTAGCCCTGCTAGCCCGCAGCAGGGCTAAATGTTGAAGACAATGTAGAAAACAACCTAATGTTGGATGGTAGAAATTTCACACCCTTGCTCCTGAGACCCTGCACAACCCACTAAGATCCCACAGAGCCCTCCTGAGACCTAGCCTCCTGGGATATCAGGCAGGCACCCCGGAGCAACTACTAGTGGTGCAACATTTGCAGCTGGGACTGGTCCCTGGTGCTCCATCACTGTCCTAAAATCATTAGTCTGCATTGTTTAAAAAAAAAAAGTATTAGTAATTGGCATTGTAAAGTATCTGTACTCGTACTTGGTCTGGAACAAATGGTATCGGTGCATCCCTAATTGTTCGTTTACTTTACTCTTGCATCTGTTACAGGGCTTTTGGTTCACAAGGAACATCTAATAAGTTTAATATTTTCCATTTACTTTTTAAAGCTGCAACTTTTGAAAAGTTTCCCGGGACTTCAAAAGGTGTCATAAGCGATGCTGTTAACAGGCAAATTGCAGAATTAAAATATCGCCTGAAGGAAACAGTCAAGACCTCAGCAGATTCACAGAAATAAGTTTTATAATGCAATTATGTTTCAAAAATGTTGACCATCTGAGTGTTGTACAAGTGTTTTTCTATTGTATTCTACTGAATTTTTGATATTTATTTATGATAATAAGATAATAATAAAAGATTTGTGCATTGTACTGTTTTTTTCTTCATCCAGAAAATGTTTTGGAATTGAATACTATACATTTTTTAACGTAGTGGATTATATTTGAAATGCATTGGAAATATATTTTAAAAACTATCATGAATACTTGATGATTTTATTGGCCTGTGATATATAGGGGTCTATTCACTATGCTGCCGAGGGCAGCCGAGTTTATGACCGATCAGAAGTGAAGTGAGCCGAACACTGTTCGGCTATTCACTCCAGGCTGGTACCGCTGATTTCAGCCGTACATCGGCTGAAATCCGCCGTACATCGGCCTGCTTCGTGTGGCTTCGGGGCGGCCG